CTACCATGTTTCATGGACATGTTTTGTTGCTTTCCAGGTGTCATGAATGGTGACAAGTTAGAGGATCTACACTCTGGACTTCCAATAATCAGCACAGTCAATCAAATCCATGATGGCCTCACACACAGATCCAGAAGACAATGCCTAATAGGCTTGAGACTCTTCTTTTCCTTTTCCCTCTGGGATTATGGATGAATTGTTATTCTTCAATTGACCTGAAGAGGCTAGAAAACCTTAGTCTTATTAGCTGTGAGAACTCCAAAGCAGAAGATATCTCTCATTTCACTTTGGCAATACCTGAAGTTGATTCCTTTGACCAAGCGGATAACAATATTTTAGCATCTTCATCCTTCACATATCAACTGGCCCCCATCAAAGATTCAAGAAAAACTATGGTTGATGCTTTGGATTCTACAAATCATCCAAATCCTATCATACCTGGCCACATGAATTCTGTAACTCCAGCTCCTCCATCTACCACTCTAACCTTAGCAAGGGAATCTCTGGTTGATACTCTGACTACTGGAAACCACAAGGCATCTATCCAATCTGATGAAGAAAATGGGGCCTCTAGCTTTCAACCTAAAAAAATGTTCTTAGGAAAATCAAAATCATTCAGATTATTTGGAAGAGAATTATCCTTTGATGTAGCATCCAATATCAGTAGTTGTCAGAAAGATTTCCAATCAAAGAAAGCTGATAATACCATTGACACACTATACTTGGGAGCTACATTGGGGCCCTTCAAAGCTGTAAAGACTGAGAGTAATGAGATTACAGGAAAAAGTATTCATCAGGATTTTGTTTCACAAAAACAGATAAACAGACAAATAAGCTTTGGGCCCAATGCAGATCAACAGGAACTGCTGGTAACAGATCCTTTCACGGATAAAAAAACTTCAGTGCAAGATACAAAATTTACAACAAAACCCACCCAAACATCTGAACCCATTCCACTTTTGCCAGTCAATGAAGAACATCAAGCTTTAACAAATAATCAATCTTTAAAACATATTCAAGCTCCGGAAATGGAATCATCAAAGCACCTCATCAGCCTCTCCCCCCAAGGCCCATCCACTTCTAAAGCTGAGATTTGGATGCAGCCAACCAAAAGAAAGAAAATTGACAAGTTTCCAACTGATCTTATGCATACCCAATTTTCTTCAATTGGAAATGTAAAACAAAGTGCATCCAAGAAGAGCATTGTACCATCAGTAACCCAGACAGATTTGAAGCTTTCTGATATATTCAAGTTCAATGTGGATGTCTTTCAACACCCTCAATACAAATCAGTAAGATATGAATTCAAAGTCAAAAAAATAATTTCAAAGATGAGATTGTTTTGTTCTAGTGATGAACTTACGATACCTGCAAAGATCAATGCAACCAGAATTTGTCACTTCTTCCGCAAATTTTCTATGAATTGTGTTATACCCAAGGAGGGTGATTAAGAATTCATTGAAACCGCAGCAACAGAACGTAGAGATTTACTCAACAATGCAGTGAACTGTGTAGATTCACAACAAAGCCTTTGGTTTGATTTTTGGAAAGAAAGGACTGGTATAAACTTCCAGGAAATTGACTTGTCTCAAGTGCCAAGAGCGCAATCTACAAAAGACACAAGTGGAAGAGATTTGGCTTTACTTTTCTTCCATGTTGACATGATTGGTACGATCCTTCAGAACCACTTTCTCTCAAACCCTGCAAAGCACTATCAAGATTATGGTGCAAACCTATTAATGGAAGCAGCTGAACTGATCAAACATAGCACTTGGGAAAATCCATTTCCAGGAATTCGAAATGATAATAAATCCACTCTTTGTCTGGAATCAAAAAGGGATTTGAAATGGGTTTGGGAATGGATAAGAAATTTCCTCATTCAGTCACAGGAAGAAAAATTGAAGAAGATCTTCTTCAAAGATAAGAACTATGAGATTCATTTTCTTACTCAATGTTTTTTTACTGATGTTTTTGCCTACTCAATTGAAAACCTGAATCAAAGATTATTAGAATATTCTAAAAGAACAGGATTCAGAGCCAATTAATACAATTTTACCCTTTTATAGACCCAATATCTACTCTTCAACCCCAAATTGGTTAGCTACATAGTACATACTCACTCATTTTCAATTATTGCTTTTACAAAGTTTTCAGCTGGTCTGGGTAGCTTTATGCACACTCTCCAGCTCACACATTACGGTTAATTGATATTGTGAATCACACTCAGACTAGGCTCATTGTTTTCCTCTATGCATTTTTCTGCCATGGCACATCAAGTGTATATGCTACAACCCATGTGAATTTATCAGGACTGAATATACTTAAGAAAAAGAAACAAACTAGGAGGTTGATCAACAATGAGATGAGAGAGTGGACTGATAGCTTCCTGAACTCCAAAGCCACCTGCAGACAAGTGTGAACATTTAGAAATGTTGAACTAAAGGATATGATTAGAGAAGGATAAAAGACTGGGGATCCAACTCCGGAAGAGTTATAAATTCAAAAAGGTGTAAGATGTGCCTTGGTCAGAAAGATGAGGTGAAAATGATAAACTGAGGGTCTGGTAATGTATGGCTCAAAAAATGGGGGGGGGGGGGGGTTCAAAAGATACGGCAGACTCTCTGTCACTGGTTTTGTTGTAGAAGTAATTTGTCTGATCCTTTTTTGGCCACAGAGCTAAGCTTGCTGGTCACTTGTTGACAGTACTAATTAACTTCATACTCTATATGATCACATATTTTACTACAACCAACGGCCATGACAATGAGCTGTGTATATTCAGGTTGGAAACAAACTGAAACAGCATCCGGGCAGAGCAGAAGTCTTTCGTTTGATTCAGACCAAACACAATGAGTTGAACGTCAAAACATCATTGTCAAACTACTGTGCAGTTTTGATCTCCCTTGAGCCGATTTGAGACAGGCCTTTCTTTGATAGGCCATTGAACTGCACAATGCAAAATCTTTGAATTCCCTTTTCACATCTTTTAAGCCGGGTTTTTGTATTTGGGCTTCCAATGTCCTCCATGGAGATACATATTCCTCCTGGGAACCGCCACGAAATCATTCCGCTCCTGGAGTCCTGGCTCCATCCATTGGATGATCTCCTACTTCTTTTCAACTGTGTGATCACAATGAACACAACATTATAAGATTGTTTAGGGTGAAATCGAACCATCCCCAAATTCGACATCCTTAGGTATAGGGTTGGGTAGGCCAGATCGATCTAAAGCCAATACTTGTCTTCTGAGGTACGAAAACAAAGCATAATGTGCACCTTCGTAATTCATGTCACTAACATAATAGAGTATTGTGATTTTTGTCAGTGGGCAAAAGTGACCTACGCAGGATATAAGGAAAAGGGAAGAAGTAAGGAGGAAAGTGACTCAACTACCACCAATTACAAGCGATGATCAGGCCGTTAGGAGTCGTCCTGTGGGCTTGAACATGGTGGAACCAAAGCGAAGGAAGATAAAGCAAGTCGCCTTGATGGAGTGTGACGCTCATAGATCTAGCGAATCTGAAGCGGGGGTAAGTGTTGTAATCGGGCTCCAAAGGATCGATCGGAATCCACGGAACGATCTGCTCCTCTGAGCTCTTCGGGATAATCGTCCACTTCTGGTCCGATTCGGACCAGTGGTATTGGCTCGATCGGTAGCGCCCTTCATGCATGCAATAGTACTCCACCGGTGCGAAGAGCGTGAATGTCTTCGATCCTTCAATCATTAGATAGAAATTCTCATATGGATCTTTCAATTGAGGAGCAGTGGTTGCGGATATTGTCAGGTTGTCTGTTACCTATAGAAAAAGAGAAAGATCCGGCTCAATACGTTTTACGCACCATTGTGAAGTGAAGTAATACTACGGTCATCGCCAATCCACAGATTGACAGCGTCAGGTTGATTGGTTCCTGAGGCAAGAGAAGATGAGTAAGAGAGGTCGAACCGCGTGAATCTGGTGAATGAGCATACCTAGCGCCTGGCTGGCTATGGGTACGTGGGTGCCCACGTTGGGAAGGAGTGGACGAAGCTCCTTCGACAAGTTGCCATCCTGCGACTGCAGATACACAACATCCCCTCTCGATCCTGAAGACGCCCGGTCCTGATTCGCCGCGTCTGTGGAGCCATCCTGGCTGCTTTTAGTCCCCGAGCAGCCGCGTAATTCAGCGAGGAAATCAGCCATCGTAAGTTTTTCATCTGCATGGAGGATCGGTTGTTCCATCAGAAAGTTCAAAGTTAGAAAGTTGTCAGATCATGTCTTATACATGCGATAAAAAGGGCAGTCAAAGGGTCGAGTATGTGATCGAGTGTTCAAAAGAGAGCTTAAATACACACATGCCGGTTCGACGAAATATGTGCCATCCACGATAGAATCAGCGTTACTTTTCCAAGGGATATGACTGTCAGGTTGCTGATCGTCGGGAGAAGCTGCAAAGATGAGGGATGATCGATGGCCGATGTACAACTTACCCGAATGGTGTTCTTGCTACTGTGATGGGCTGGTCGGCAAGCCTCTGAACGAGCTTCGGATCCGTCCATTCCTCGAGACCTTCGAGATGATGATGATGATGATCTTCTTCAATGGAAGAAGAAGAAGAAGAGGAAGAAGAAGAGGCTCTTTGGAGTCCAGCGTACGACCGAATCACCAGTGGCCGATTGCGGGCAATCGATCGAGATAGTTCGAGTGCTGTTGGCAGTCTGCCGCTGACTTGGTCGATGGCCGATCCGTTTAACTCTTTCAAGTTTCCAATCACAAAACAAGGCATGAGCATATCAAATAAATGTTTATGTCCTCTCCAGCATCAACCAATCAAGCAAGCAGACCCACCTTGGTATTCGCTGACTAGTTTCTGTAAACTTTCTTCGGATGGATCCATTTTGGGTACATATAAGAGATGGGAAGCGTCACCACCCGCTGAGTTTTTTGACTTGATGACCCACTACATATCCATCCAGTCAGTCCGGAAACCACATCCTCACAGTCTTCTTATCCAAAACACGACGCCACGCATATATCCTCAACCCATGACGAGCGTCACACAAATATCATTTTCTTTGCGGTTGTTGTTTGAAAACCTCAAGGCCAGATTGAAGGTATGTAGCACATGTCCATTCAATTTGTAGGGACAAGATCATAATGAGTTTGTACATGCGTGGTGCTTGACTTGTGATCTTTCTACATAGTTCATCTGAGTTTCCTCGCAAAGAACGCAAAAGGTGCAGCTGAGATATAGGCTCAATTAACTCCCATCAGTATTACACTTGTAAACTACCTTCAATGAGCAAGTGTAGACCAACACTGAGAGAAGTAACACCGAATCACACTGGTCAATGGTGTGCTTGCTTATTATCTGGATCATAACACCATCTCTCAGCGACACAAAGGCTGGGACACAAAATCTGTATTATGCAGTGGGGTGATGTGACCCCCAGAAACCAGAAAAACCCAGCAACAGTTGGGATGGTCTTACTCCAGCACAGCATACCGTTTACAAAACAAAGCAAATCTCCAAATTATAAACAAAAATTGAATCGAAGCCAATGAAGGATGAAAGTGAGGAAATCCTCAACTTGAGCAAATCAAGGATTGTTCGAACGAGGGATTAGAGACTCTGAGAGCGGATCTCAATGGAGCAGACTGGAGAAGAAGCGCTGGCTGGTTAAGAAGATACCAGCAGATCCCTTCAGAGAGCTTCCTACAGGAGTCGGGTAGACGCGAGTACGGGCCAGGGAGGGTCCGGCCGGAGCTGGGATGGTCGATCGAGAAGAATGGGACCAGTAAGCGGCCAAGATCGGGCAGACAAGCTTCGAAGAAGATCATCGGTCGACTGACGACTCGATGTAGAAACGAAAGAACAAGCTGTCGATTAAAAAAAAAAATGATGGATTCTTTGGTCAGTAACAAAAAAGGTTCAAAGGGAAATATAATAATCTGGGATTGATGACTGACATGAGAGGTCGTCGGATTCTTGGTTCCTAGCTGCCATAATAACTTCGGAAGCCCCATCATCCATTGGCGCAACTTTTCCTGAGTTTCGGGGGCGAGAATGTCGAGCTCAGAGGCGATTTGACAGCCAGGCAAATCGTCCAACTAACCCAGCCCCGCACCAATTGATCAATCAATCAAACCCCACACACACATATATATACATATTTCTGCTTTTTTTGATTAGTAGAGAAGGGAAGGGAAGGACTTACGATGCATAACCTGGCAAGAAAGTTGAGCCCAAGAAACTTGAGTTCCGAGTTAGGACTGAGGCCATTCAAGTGATCGATGAACGCTTCGATCACCCGACTTGCCCAACTATCCCGGTCAGCCTTCGGGTTCTCGCGTTGAACCAGATCGTGCTTCAATAGAGACCAAACGATCGGAAAGATTCTGCGGTATGCTTCCGGTTGCATGGGTCCGGAGGAACTGTTCATGCTTATCACCTGCGTATTGTTCCTGATCTTAGCGTCCCGACACTGT